TACTCATTTATTGTTTAGGTTTATTTACAAATATTATTTACGGATCTGTATATTACTTGAAACCATAAGAAGTATACGTGATTATTAAAAAAATTAAAAATAGATAAAATTTGCATTTTATGGAGGATACAATTTTGGGGGATTTCAAAATAATGTACTAAAGCATTAAAAGTAATAAGTTCAAATCTGTAGCAAATATAAATATTGTAATCATTTCTTATAAATACGATTTCCTAATGTAATTTTCCAAGATATTAAAGATCATAATGCAAAAAACTAAATTTATCAAAAGTAATAGGCTTTATGTTTCTTAAAACTACCAACATTTGTCAAAGTATTTATGAATTTTCGAAAATATTCGTCCACTAGTTTTATTGTTGGAATGAAATATAGCAAGACTTGCATTGCCTACTAAGAAAGTTAGTAGCCAGTAGTCATCGGGTTAACCAAGTGGATCCACAATTACTCCAAGACAACCTTATGGAGGTTGGCCTAAAATACATTAAACGTGGAGGCCCACACAAACCACACTCTTGGCCCATCATGGCCCTGCACAATGTCTCCTCCAACTAGGGATGAAGAGTAAAGGAAGCTTTGTGAACAAGTGCAAACTGAAATAGGTGAAGGCATATTTACTACATTTTGCAACATTCTTGAAAAACTTTATGCTAATTACTTAAAGATCTGAAGATATGGATTTCAAAGAGTACATTTAACTTTGTTGCATAATGGTAAGAGAGAGAAATGTACAGGACAAAGGATCCTCTGACACTACTAATTTGCCTTTTTTTTTGTATGTGTAGTTCTCAATAAAAGTATAGAAATGAATATTAACACATTACTGGAAGTCAATTTATAGAAATTAGTGTATGGTATCTCAACTAAGCAACATTACTAGACAAACTTAAAGCTAGGATATTACACACCATAATAAATGAAGTCAGGCCAGTGATCATACCAATTAAACCATTCTCAAATTATTCTATCAATACTTTTTTGGTGTGTATTACTCAACATTTAAGGCATCATATATTTGAAATAGTCTTTTAAACTAGCAAATGAAGTTATTTTGTGTGTAATTAGTTTTACTTGCAACATCTTTCAACTAAGTTACCATGAAAGTACTTTTTCTATTATAGAAACAAGGATAAAATTTAAAAGTAGAAACTAGAGTTTCCAACAACTTTTCTGAGCACCAAGTTATTGTTAATGCATCTTTTGGAATGAAAGTAAACTACACTTATAATGTCAAGTCACATTACCAGTTTCACTGAAACAGTACCAAGGTTACCACTTTAACTGGAAGAATAGTTACAAAGATGTTATTAAATTTTCAACAACTAAAGAATAAAATTCTTGACAAATAGTTGCTAAAAATTATTTGATAATAATTAAATATTATTATTACATTTTTCTAGGTCACCTCTCTCTTTCCAGTGAAATAACCACAAACTATATCTGTATGTAAATATGATATTTCAGACTTATGTTACACTGTAATCCAACAAAATTGTAAATTAAATCAACAGCACACCCAACACTCTCGGGTAAACCATTCCTCACATTTATAATAAACCTGAATCTAGGCTTCCAAAGCCTTTTTTTTATTACCCACAGAATTCAAATTCCATTAGTAAGAAACATAAATGTTCTTAATTAAGTACCTAATGACCTTCAAATAATTTTAGTTCTTCTAGAAAAATAAGTCCAAATCTGTTTCTCATCATACATGATTCTTAGACCAAATATATCAGCTTCACATCTCAACATTAGAAACTTAAATTATCTTAATTAAGTACCTAATGACCTTCAAATAATTTTAGTTCTTCTAGAAAAATAATTCCAAATCTATGTTTCTCATCATACATGATTCTTAGACCAAATATATCAGCTTCACATCTCAACGTTCTTATATAGCCTTTTTTATCATTACAAGGTGTGCTGTAGTGTAGCAAATATACTGATGTAAAGTTAAGAGGAACATAATAATTGCTCTGCTTAATATGGCTGCCTCAAGTTTGCATTAATTAATATAGAAAAGGAAGGCAAAGCAATTTAGAATAATTACATATTAATTGATTTAACTTAAAAGACCAATTACAGTTCTACCACCACAAACTGAAGTCTGAAGAAAAACATTTAAAATTATCAATAAGAACTTATGAGTGAAAGTAAATAAGAGTGTATAAACTATAATATGTCAACCACACTATATCTGCTAAATCCAGTGGTCACATGGCATTTCATCCAATACCAGACATAGTGGTTGAGACACTATGTTAGGAAATTACTTGACAACAACTCTTTCAGCATGACTTGGATTAAATTGGTGAAGTGTAGCTTTACAGCACTTTTAGTTATGCTATTTCAAAAATAAGGTAAGGGTTGTTTTAACACCATAATATTATTAATTATCATTTTCTGGAATTAACCTGCTCATTATTCAAAAGAATTGATGAACCAGAGTGAAATTTGATCTTTCAAAAAGAGAGTAACAACTATGAATTCAATTATATATCTTAAAAACTTAATTATAATCTTAACCTTTTTTGTTACACAAATTTTTCACAGTTACTATAAGTAAGAATGGAAAACAACAACAACAAAAAAACTAGCTTAATGTATTTTATATGCATTATTATTTGTTTGAATTTGAAATGTCATCCTTTACTTATTGTAACTTACTAAAAGCCCAAAGTAACCTCTACTCAAGCTAGACATTAACCGAGCCACATAAACTTCAAGATATATGGATTAGAAATAACAAACATTCTCTCACAAAAATGCATCTCATGCATGTACCAAAAACTATTTTACAATGGCAGTTACTAAACTTGCATTATGTAACTGAAGAATTAAAAATTTTATGGAAAATATTATATAAAAGACATGATTTAAACCTAACTCTCACCATGTTGAGCTTCGTGCAACACTGTTGTGCATTCAAATAGTCACATTCCAAATCTGACAAAGTTACAACCTGTACAAATGTTAAGGTAAATAATACAAACATACTAATTCAAGTACATGTACATAGACACACGTGTAATAAAAAGTATATTTGTTTATAAATATATATCAGTTAAAGTTTGAAGAATTTTTCACACTTTCTCAAAACCACGTCTCTTTTAGATGTAATGTTAAGTGTATGGATTAATATTTTGAATTTTATTTTAAAATCAGTGGGTTTGTAAGTGAATACATAGAAAGATAGCACTCTAACATTAAAAACATAACGAACAAAGTATTTTGTATGCAATAATCATCCAAGAATAGGGACAAACTATCTATTGATATTATAAATGCTAACTAGCTGTAAACTTAGTTTATTTCTCTAAATAATGAGCCATTATTTACTAAATATATGGTCCTTAAAAATATCTGTATTTCCCTAAATAATGTTATTTTATTATTCAAATAATTTTGTAAACACAGAAATATTAAATTACATGGTTTAATTCCCATCTATTTCACTTTATTCTCAAAACTAGATGTTTGGCTGTATTATTATGTAGCTTCTGCAAATATCTTATTTTTGTATGTGATATTTGTATGCGTTTGCAGCTTTGAAATTAGAAAAAAGATTTCACTATGATATGTTTCTTAAAAAAACAACTTAAAATGTTTAACTTTGTACATGTTAATTCCTGATTTTTATGTCTTCCAATATTTTTTAAAGTTTTTATTGTATCTTTGTTTTGATTTGAAAAACCCACACATAGTTTTACTTGGTTTATGATCAATAAAATACAATAAAAATAGCTTATGCCATACCAAAATTTAAGCAAATGCACTTTTTTTTTTGAAAATTGTCAATGAGGTTTCATGTAGTAAGTTTTAAATCCGTTTTTCCACGTTTCTTTTCTGTGATTTTCTTTGCCCATTCAAGCAGTTACTTTGGCCAATAAGACCAACAAGGCCTTGATGGCAAATAAATGTTGCTGACACCATTAGAAACACATTAACATGAAAATAACTTTAAAATATAAGCTTACCTTTCCAATCAGTTGGTTACATTCCTTCACTATAATTATATGAACATCATGATTACTTAATGCTTGACCCCATAAGCTGCTTGTCTTCCTATACAAGTAGATATTGCCATAAGGTGCTACACAGGAAAGACTGCTAATTATTATAGGCACCTGATCAGACAATAGGGGTGAATAAGAAACTGAATATTGACATCACAGTTCTATTAATAAGAATAGTAATGCAATAATGATAGAAGACTTCCACATTTACTGGGACTTTATGGAGTTAAGTAGTGGAGGAGAGAGGTTCCTTGAAGCAATTTAGTATGATTTTATACACCAAATGATACAGAAGCCAACTAGAGGGGTGTCCCAATTTAGATTTATTGTTAACCACCGATGTGGATGTGATTACGGGAGTTGAAGTAAAGGAAAATTTAGGGAAGAGTGATCATTGAATAATTAGGTTTTACATTTTGCTACATGTTGGGATCAAAAAGAAAAAAGTTTAGTTTCCATTGTTTCAGATCATGAGACAAGATTTATCGTTAATGAATTTAGACAAAGAGTTAAAAGATTATGTGGAATAGATGTGGGTAATAATTTTAATTCAAGACAAATATGTTCCCAAAAAGAGAAAAACAATAATAGGGATGATAAAATCTAACTGGCTTACTAGAGACAAAACAGAAACTGAAGAATAAATGTCATAAGTTTAAGAAGTTTGAATTGACAGATAAGGTTTGGTTGTTGTAATGAACAAAGTTACACAATGGGCTATCTATGCTTTGACAGATAAAATGGAATACTTACAGTACAAAGGGAAGGCTCAGAATATGGCAGTGTTTTATTAAGTTGAAAAATTATATTTGTAGCCTTTTACAATTTGCCTCAAAATGTTTTTATGATATGAAAGGAGGAAGTCACTGGAAGAGGTGGACAGATAATCTTAATCCTTAATACAAATAAAAATTGACCTGGCCAAGTCTATCACTTGTTTTTACACTACACTTAACATCTTCTCCTGTTGTTTGTAGGAGTTAATGTTAGTTCAGCATTGTAGGCATACACGTGTGAATTTTTGAAACACCACCTAACAACAAGCAGGGTTTAGCTCTTCTATTTCAACACTGTTCAAAGGTTAATTTTATTAATATTGTAGTTGACCATATTCTCAGTAGTTTCCAATACCCCCTGCGAGATGTCATACTTTACATAAATAAGAATTATAATGCTGATCAATTATAAAATTAGAAGGAAAAGTGTGGGTTTAGTATGATCCATTGTTCAGCAAGAAATAAATACAGGAAAGGGCAACTAGTGTAAAAAAGTGTTATCTAATCATCCTTAAATATTTGTTGGACGTCCCTGCTTGAACATAAATTATGAAAAACTGAAGTGGTAGATGGAATTTTTCTCCTTGAGATGCGAAGAAAACAGACTGACATGACTCTATGAATGAGTATTTATGGACAAGATTTCTCAGTATAAAATTTTGACCCTTTTATATATTTATGTCCATACAGTGCAAAGTAAATTACCAACTTTGCACCTGATTGTCCAAAATAACAGTCTGTTAGAGCCATGAAAACACCTTATTAATTTTTAAAATATTCTCTGGTATCGGGAAAATATTATTCAGTACAGATACTGACATACAAACCTTTCGTGTCTTGTCTAGAATCCAGCCACGTTGCACTGGATCCAGGTCTTGTGCAATTGCATTCAGAGCTCAGTTCCATTTGCATGCTTGCAAATGAGCTTGTATAATATTCTCTTTGAATCCATCATTTATTTGTGACAGAGACCTCAGCTTTGGATATTGTACACTGTGATTGTATTGTGATATTATCATATTTCATATCCTAAACAAATAATAAAAAACAAGGAAACCAAGAAAAAAAATAAATGCAATAAATAAATAATAACTGGTTGATGATGGTACAGTAGTTAAGAATATAAATAATTTTTATAAATTAAGTTTGTTAGATATTTTTGAGGACCACCTGGTTTTTATCATGCTCTGCTTTTCCAAAATGGAATGCAACTCCAGCAACAACTCTATATAAAGCAAAACAATTTGAGTATGTGTTTTGTGGGAGCTTACAATTGTTTGCTGTGTGTGCAATTCATCAAAACTTGTTCTTGACAGGTTGCAATTTAAGTGCAAATGTTTAAAAATACTCAAGGTTAACTGCCTGTTATCATTTAGTTTATAAAAATATGTGGTCTAAAGATAATGATTCTGAAAAAACAAAACAAAAAACACCGTAAAAAGGTATTCCCAAAAATCTCCACCTGGCTGTCAGATTATTGGGGTAGTTATAAACTTGTGGAATGTTTTGCCTGATAATGTGATTGGTGTAGTTAATCAGAAACGTTTTAACATATTTTAATTTCTTATGATCCTACATTACTCCAAACTACTTTTAAAAAACACCTTTTTCTATGCTCCCAACTTCTAAACATTTCCTCCAATCTCCTGTCTTAGATGAATTGTGTTTGAGGTACCTCATGCTGTAATTAATGATTTATTTATTAGCTTAAATAATTACGTACTTAATTTGTACACATTTGAAATAGCGTGTCTCCATGTTGTGCTTAAGCTCTTAGTCATACTTTTAGTAAAATTTCCTTGAAATTTGAACCGATCCCTTATAAAATTGTCTCTATAATGTTACATAACTTGTAAGATTAAAACAGATTTTCGAAAAGGATACGACGTAAACGGTTAAGAACAAAAGTGCTGCAGAGTCAAAGAGAGCTCCAACAAAAAGAAGTGTGTCTCCCATAATGATTATCTTACAATTACAAATACTGTTTTAAATCGTAGAATTAAGATTGTTGTCAACAGCCACTGAACCAGTTAATAACCGAGTTATGTAACTAATATAAAGTTACAACTTACAGGTTGATGAATTTGACGAAAACCTAATCTACCAACGTCCGATATTTTAACAAACTGTAAGTTGTAAAAAATACTATATATATTACTATTTGTCTATCAGTATCAACCGTACTCAAGACAGTTAAAATCTTAATTAATATAAGCCGCTAACATCCCACAAGTCCCTTAATCACATGTTCTAGATCATCTTTATTGTCACTTCACCGTTAAGTTAGTAGTTTTTTAGCTTATAGACAGGAACTGCATGCAACCTGTACATAACGTTTACTGGCCTGTAACTAAATGACATGGTGAAATATAATGCTTGTTTTAGCACATTTTATTTATTTAAAATAATGCCACGATATTACATCAACCCCTATGTTCCCATGAGGAAGAAGAAATATTAAATTTACAACCAAAAGAATAATAATATAATTAAGTCAAGTTTTTCATAGAAATCAATTGATAAAGACAAATTTATTATTATATACATTGACAAAATAGGACGGTGAGAAAAGGAATTCTGTATTGTGTTTGTGAAAACAGCTAGAGAGGCTATCTGCCACTGATCCTAATTTTTTGACTACTGACCAAAGAGTGAAAGCAGCTAGCCGGTAGCACACTAACACCCACCATCCATGCTATGGGATTGACTGTCACTCTTGTAATTAAAGCAATAAAATATTGGCATAATCCTTATCTTACGCTCAGCAGGTGCAAAAGTGTTAGCAAAATCACGTAATATTTTATGGTAAAGATGAATGTATTGTCCTAACTACAATAAATAGTAAGTGGCTTTATTATATTCAACAAGAATGTTAACTCTATATTCTAATATATTTATATAGTTACGACAGCGGAAGTCACGCGACGCTGGTGGCGCGCGTGATGAGTTTCTCGAATGATCGGGGAAGTCCGAGTAATTTGGAGATGCTCTGGCAGAGGAAAGTCAGCGTGGCTGGAGATAATGTGAAAGAAATGTGTTAACCAAAAGCAACTATAATCTAATTTTTTTTATTATATTTGTCTTAGAACTGTAAAATATGCCTACATCAAATATTCCAAACTCTTTAATTGTACATCTGCAGCATATTATATTGTGGCGTCAGCGAGATCACGTGACTATTCTCACGCCCTCTGCTTTCTAGAACTATCCTGTACCTTGGCGAATTCTCTAGCATTTACTAGATATAGGGTAGTCTGGTATATAAAAGAGGGTGACAACGTGACAGAAGAATGTAATGTGTGTGTGTAGACAGTGAGTAATTGATCTGCAGTCAGGGAGTATTATTGAGTACGTTCGTTGTTATAGCGTTTGTTTTAGCGCGATTGTTGAAATTAAGTGTATCGTAAAGTTATATTCGGAAAGAATAAACCAGTTTTATTAAGTAAGGACTTGTGTCGCTAAAGTTTCGTCGGAACGAAGTTACCGAAAGTTAATTAACAAACGGAGACGTAACAATATTTTTAATTATTTCTATAGGAGTTCTAGATTAGATCCAGCTAAATACTCTTTAAATCATTTATTAATTTAGCGCGGGTTATTTTACCTGCTATTTTATATGTGGGAATTGTACTGCATTTAAAATTTTCAATGTTATTTATAATTGTTTTATGGATCAAAAATATTTCTGGATTGCTGCGATCCAACATGTGATTAGACAACCATGAAAAGAATATGAAATAGTGAGAGTGGTTTTAATGTTTTCAAACAGATTTTTTTCAAAGGTCCAAGTTGAAGATTTTTGTTAAGTGTTATTTCTTCTTTTGCTAATTGCGTGTGTTTCAATGTTCAGTTGAAAAAGTGGCTAATGTTTCATTCGTTTTAACTGTAATTTTGTTTCAATTCAAATGCAGTTTTTTATTTTTTCCGGATATAACTTTAACCTCATTTGACTACAACCATTTTATTTGTTTCATTCAAGTGAAACCATCAGATTAATCATAAGTGCTCCATTATTATCTGTCTGTATTGTCAATAAAGTGTTGTTTTTTTTACTATTACACTAGTCTTGTATTATTCAATTAATTGTCATTCTACATACTTAAACTTTGAAGGTCTTGTTCTTTGGTAATCAGGTAAATTTGATTTCTTTTCTTCTCAATCTTAAGTACCACAGCATATTTTGATAATTTTCTGATGTCAGTGACTAAGTTCTAATTAATGCAGAATTGATAGTTGATTTGTACTTGTCTCTTTTCAGTTGATTCTCTTCTGCTGTTCTTGTGAGATCCCATCCGATAGAAGACTTTGTCTTGTTGTAGAATCAATTGCAGAAGAGAGAATGATAACTAAACTGAACTAAGGATATATATGAAAGACTTGGAGGAGTCTTCTAACAAAGATACAGTGTTCCTCAACATTAAACCAATCCTTCCAGAACTTTTTACTTTGACCACTTACTAGCATGACTGAAACACGATCAAAGCCTTCTTGAATCACTGATAACGTCAGTTATGCTCCTGTATATCTCATGAGCTCAAAAGTGAAAATTGAATGCCGTCATGTGGAATATTCTGATCAAAATTTTGCTAGAACCATATAAGTCAGTCTCAAACTTGTCTAAGATCCATCCAATGTACGTTTGAGCCCATAATTACACTGAGGAACAATCTTCAGTGTATGAATGATTGTTGCCAACTTGACCACTTCCCAACATTAGTTGGCATAGTTACCTACTTGTTGTATGTATGATGTACTCTTGACAAGCCAGAAGCTCTCTTGCATGGAAATGAGATTCTTTGATATCACATAATAACAAGAACATTGAAACTAGTACTGGTACAACGTCAGCACTTCGCCACGTAAGTGCTATCTGTTTTCCAAACAGAAAATGGTGTATTTCATTCATTAATTCTGTCAGTATGTCACTTGATGACAATGTACCAGACTGCATATGTTATCAACATTTAATACCACTAGCGCATTGTCATTATTCCTTTTCAACATGTACATTATATATAATCTGTGAAAACTGGATGGTTTATCTGCAGAATTGTAGTTCGCTTCATAAACATTGAAGCTAGCTAACCATTTCTGCAGTACGTCTGTATCTAAGATACTTAATAAAGTCTAAATAACTTTACACCTCAGGACTCTGAGGACCTCAAAGTCTATGTGTTTGATAAAAATGATAAAACACACCATCACACATCTGTAAGTGCTCATACAAATGCCAAAGACTATGTACCGCTACAATCTGTGATGGTCACCTGCTACCTTGCTGCATAGTCAGGAACACCCATGCTAGATGTGAATCCTTCAATCACTTTTAATGTTCGAGTTTCGGAATCTAATCGTCAACGGAATCACCTACAGCATGACTCTACACCATGACAACTGAAATGACTTTTTTCAACATAGTGTCCTAGATCAGCCATTCAATGAATGGCTAGCGTTTCATCATTTAGTAAGATAATCTATCTGTGTTTATGTTGCACTTCATGACTTTGTTATATCACCATGTTATACTCCTGTAATGTTGTGGTTTAATTGTGATAATCTTTTTCAGAGTTCTGAAGTTCATCAACTATTTTAGGAACACGTGAATCACCCTATGAATGAACTTTCTGTTTGAAAAACATTGTTAGTAGTGCATTATGAAGATTAAAGTTGCAAACAGTTCTTTCTTTGTCATGTAGTAGCAGCATTTAGAGCTGTGAGTGTATGGCTCATGTACACAATAACACGTTCAGCCCTGCCCTGTGACTGCAACAGCACCACCTCAATTTTATACTATCACTGGAATCTGTAATAAACAGGAAACCACAGTCCTATCTCAGATATGCCAATAAAGAATGTTTCAAGGATAGAAATGCATTCTTCAGTCCATCTCAAATGTGCATTGGCTTTAATGACAGTTCACATTGGTGCAGGGATCTTTGAGAAATTGACCATCAAACATCGATAATAAGATGCAAATCCAAGCAAAATTTGAACTTAACTTTACGGGTTAGTGCCAGTCTCGAACTATCTCTACCATTGAATGCACGTTTACTGGGCTTTACTTTTACTCCTGACATTCTTATCTGTCGCACAACTATGGACATGTTCATAAAAGCAGATTTGGATATTTGGGCAAATACAAAGACATCATCTATGCAAACTAGGCATCTCTCCAATTGCAGGCCCTTAAACATAACTTTCATCATTCTTTCGAATTTGAACTTGCACATGCTTTACAGACAGAAAACACTGTGTTTTACATGTTGGCTTGACAGCCGCATTACATAGCACCAACGTACCAGACCTTGTCTATAGTAAACCAAATCACTTGTGTACACAGGAGATCTATAACTCTTTCTACAGTTTACTGTTTTTGGATTGTTCTGATTATTATTGAATGGTTTTTGCACAGACAAAGTTGACAGAGTATTTCTGCAGTACATCCTTCCAAAACTCGCCAATGCCAGAACTACCTTCATCCTATTGTTCACGTGGCATAAACATAACCTATATACGTGCCTCTTCTTTTCCATTTAGCGTGCCACCATTTGTTAGGATGAAGTGAATGTTTACTGACCAGAATGATGGTTTTCTTTTAGAGTTCGTAATTCACAATTATATTTACTAGGATTCTCGCTGCTCCTGTGTCAACCAGGAGCTACGTTATCTATCTATCTTCACAAGCATGAAAAAGCACCATCCAGCCCTGAAAGAGCTAAGCTGACCATACTCTTTTTCTTTTGTGTCCTTCTCAGATGGTAATAAAATGAAACTCAGGCTCCAATAATTTCCAGGGCTTGAGTGACAGCAGCTACAGCTTACTGTCAGCCCTCCTACACCTGCTGTCTATCTAGATATTGGCAATTCCAGTAGAAGTGGCACCTGCAGCCCACAAACATAGCAAATGCTCCTGTTCTTCCTTCTGGAATGACTGCATAAACTGTGGCTCAAACATCATATGAGTGCTTGGATTTTCCTACCTGTTCACTGGATACCACTGTGTAAATATTCTGGGGGTATTAGCTGTGTTTCCACTCTCAGTGAAGCTCAAGCTTGACAGAAGGCTTCTCCTCTCTTATGACTTGTCCCATGTAATCATCACAAAACCTATCTTCACAGAAACTGCCTTCATCAAGGTATAAATACCTCATACTTCCAGGTGGTTCCTCATACTCTCATCAGTTGAGCTTTTTGACAAGTAGGTCATTGTGATCTGCCAATGTAAGTTCAGGGAAGACTTTCCTATGTAAGTAGTAAAGATTATCTGTAAAATTACCCACATTTTTGGAGGGGCCCATCCTTCGAGCCTTTAACTTGACATATACTCAGTTTTCCATAGGAACAGTTCAGCTACAACTATATCCCAGTCCTGTAGCTGTGCCTCCAACAAATGTTCTGCCAGACCATTAGAGTTCATGACCAGGTATTGCATCATATATTCCCGAGAGAATCGGTTCAAGGCAATGAGTTGCTGGAAATTCCTTAAGTACCTTTTAGGTCCGCTTAAACATCAAGGAAAGGTCTTGGCATACCTATTTCTCTGGTGGATTAGTGGGCTGCTCCGGGCTGTACAATCTTGCTGTCTGTCTGGCAAATACTTAAGGGTTTTAGAGAGAATGTCCCATTTGGTCTTAGATACCTTAGGCTATGCATCAACTCAAAAATCATTAAACTAGTTGTCTAGGCTCCACTCACTCTGAGTCTCAAATTTAGGGAAGAACATTATCAGCCCCTTGTGTACTCCTGATGATATCTGTTCCCCTTCCTGAAATTGTGACTGCAGAATTATGGCAATCAGGGACCTCTAGAGCAGATCCAAGAGCAGACTTCCCAAAGATTTGGTCACCCATCCTGTAGGCTGCATTTCCTCAGCTCCCGACTCTTCCTTTAGCTCATACCTTTCAAGACCCATGAAAAATGCCATTTACACTGTCTGAGAATATTAGAGTGGTTAACTACCCACACAGAAAGCAAAAACCTATACAACAGTAATATATGTCATCACGCCACCAAAATGTGTATGTGTTTGTTACTTTTCGAACTCCATCTGAATTCTTCACAAAGAAGGAGTCAACACACAAAAAAGTAAAAACACAACACAACGAAAACAAGAGTAAGTGTTTATAGTGGATGTGTGGAATTGGCAAGAGAGAGTGAGAGAAAGAGAATGTGAACAAAAACCTTTACTAGTTCCCTCTCACTAGTTTAGTGTGAGTGAGCTCCATAAGCTAAGAGAAAAAAGAAACTTAAGATCTAAAATAAAAATAACCTTGCAATATTAATAAACGTTAAGCTTATAAAGAAAAATAGCATCTAAATGAAACTTTATAATATATCTATGTCTCAAATTTAAAAGTTTACAAAACATTTATGAATCTGTATATCTTACAAAATCTACATAAAAAATATCTTCCTAATATGATAGAGACAAGCTTCAAAATACAACAAACAAGCAAACTAATAACATAAAGAAACCATGTTGCTCACGGCACACGTTCGAGTATGGGGCCTGAGAGCCCCGTGCCATTACACAATTCGCCGACATAAAAGACAACTATCTTTTTAGGACATCGTAAGTGATGTTACAGTTTTTTTCTAGATAAAAAAACGATTAATGACCAGTTGGTGAATTCTAGTCCTATGTGCAGCTAAAGCAATGAGTAGTTAAGTCGTTTACTTGAGCGATTCTTTGCACACAAACTGAAAAGAAAGAACAGAGAAATTTCATAAAATTATATTAACTAAGGAGTAGCAAACATCCAATACCGTCCTCTATCACAGCTACATCACACTTAAATTGACATGGTTGTACATTTGATTTTTCAGATGAATATTAACAGCTTTCTCGCAGATGTTTATGATTTTTTTTAAAAACAGATAATCTTTAATTAAATCATTAACAGGTCTCGATGTATTATGAACAATTTTATATTGTTCTAAGAGCTCATGATGTACTTGCTCCCAGTGGCTCAGTAGTAAATCTCTGGGCTTACGACACCAAAAAAATCACGTTTCGATACCCGTGGTGGGTACAGCACAAACAACCCATTGTGTAGCTTTGTTTTTAACAACAAACAACCGAACAATGAATTATGATGTACTTTTGTTCTAGACATTGGCAACTATAATTATCAAAACTCAAAAACCTGAAAAGTGATTGGGGAACTATGGGATTTTGACTCCGTTTTACTTCACCATATAGTAACGTTAAATTAATTTAGTAAGTGAATAATATTATAACATTTCGTCGAATTCATTATTCAGCTCCCCAGTGGCACAGCGGTATGTCTGCGGACTTACATCGCTAGAAACCGGGTTTCGATACCCGTGGTGGGCAGAGCACAGATAGCCCATTGTGCTTAGTTCCAAACAAACAAACTGTTCTTTGAAATTATCTGTATAACTCAGTTAGTAACTCAATAATGATATTCAATACACAATAATTGAGGAAACTGAACTTCGAATAATATTGAAATTACAAGAAGGTTTAATTACTATTTTTCCTGTTAGGGGGTTACAAAGGTTGATATTGTATTAGCACATGTGGAAGTGGACGTTAAATTTTTCTATTTATTTATTCTTGTATGTATCTATTTCAGATATTTGTTCTGTTTTTGTAATTTTAAACTCTTGATGCATTTGATTTCTTATTTCTCTTCTTTATCATGAAGTTACAGCTTAGCTGTAGGGGAGAAAACTAAAAATAACATAATTTCTAAATTATAATAAAGTGTGGATTGACCGAGCGTATTACTATTACTATAAATTGTTGTCCGTAAGTAATATGTACTGATTATATTTATAGTATGATAAAGACTGGTCTACAGTAACTTGTACAGAAGTAGATGTAGACCTCTAAGTTTTACATTTACTTGAAAATGTACCTGTCACACAGTCTAATCTTTGCTTTAGTAATACTAACAGTAATCAGTCTGTTCAAATTGATTGATAGACGATTCCTCTTGATTTTATGTGACACCACTACTCTTGTTTGATGATGGTGTATGGTTTTAGCAACTTGTATTATTTTAAGTGGGCTAGGTGTATGTCTGAGAGATTACACATTAGAACCGTGGGTGCATTATATTTATAAATATAATATTTATGGTGAAATTGCACTAGTAAATTATAGTAGCCAAGAGTTGACTAGCTACATTCCCTCTAGTGTGGGAATTAGGGATCTTTCAGTGTACTTTTTATTGGGAAAAGAAGGGTAAGAGGTGATATTATTGACATTTACAACATTATAAAGAGATCAATAATATAAATGCCTGACTTATTTGTGTTGTTTTCTGAAGATAAAAGGATGAGAGAGAGCATGTTTGAGATTTGGAAAATATAGACAAGGCACCAGTTAAGTTTTATTTTTCTAGTAGATTGATTGGCTTACAGAATGAGTTGTTGTTGTTGTTGGTATAGGAGGTCAGAACTTTACAGATATTTATGAGGAGAATCAACGACTTTCTGAAAAACAAAGGGTGGGTTTAAATGTTTACCTTTTTCAAGGGTGGGTATGCAAGGATAGCCATGAACTTTGAAGGACCAAATTCTGCCTTGTTGTCCTTGTTGATGTGATTTTGGCTTCGGTTTAACATTGTATTTCATTGAAACTTTTCAAGTGCAAGATTAATTACACTTCAGTTTTGCATGTAATGACATTATTAACTTGGAACTGTTCTATAAAAAGAATACAAGCTGCAAGTCTCTAAAAATGTCTTATTCTTTCCACACATCAATAGCCAGAGGTTCAAATATATTTGGTACAGTTACCTGTGCTTAACATTAGACTTGCTTTCTTTTCTCTCATACACTATAATAAATCTTACCTGACTTGCATCTTTTCTCTGAATTTGCACTTCTCTAAAACAGAAATTTCAATTTTAATTCCAATGAACAAGCTTTATAAATTCCACAGCTTTACCCTGAGCCTCTTGAAAATAGTAGTTGACAGTTAACTTGTTATAATAAAAAAAAACACAAATAAACTTAGCATTTATCACACCCCACAAAATACACCATTTTATTCCTTCTCTGCTAGTACTAATAAGAATCTACAATTATCCCACTACAGAAGCAAGAGTAACTAGCCTAAGATTTCCAGAACAACTCTCATCGTGCCCTTTAAAAATAATATTAACATTAGCAACTCTCCAATCCTCAGGCACCCATCCACTGTTTATTGACCTACCTTAAATGAAAGAGAGAGAGGCTTGAATATCTGATCTTTGACCTTCTTTAAAACCTTAGGGGAATCATTGTCTGGTCATAGTGCTTTATTTGTTAATCTGTGTTTATTCTAATCACCAAGGGATTACAATCTATATGAATTAAATTAATTTTGTTATTTCACATAAAATGTTTAGTACCAGGAATATTGCTAATATTCTCTTGTAAAAATAGAAGTGAAGAAAATATCTAAAAGCTCAACCATTTGATAGTCATCAACGGAAACTTTACCATCAGCATATTTTAAAGATCCAGTCCTCATTTTAGCATTCTGGTTACCTTTAATATAGTTAACAATTTTCTGCTGTTTTAACATTATCAGTTAGTTGTTTCTTATAAGCCATTTTGGATTTCCTAATTTCTTTTTTAACCAAATCTATAGTTGTTTTTTTTTAATTCTGTAAATCTTCCATCCTGTCTCTCAATTTAATCTTCTCAAACTTTTAGCCCTATAATTTTCTTCTTTATATTTTCAGTAAAACAATTCAGTTTGATTTTCCCTCTTAATATTTTCTTCCTTTGAGAAGCATGCCAATTTTGAATTAAAAGAAAGTTGTTTTTTTTTAACTTCCCAGATCTACCACACATCACCTCTTAACTAAATTATCCAATTGCACTAGTGATAAATCTTGTATCATTGTCTCAAAATTGGCTTTCTGAAAGCTAGAATCTAAAATTGATTTTTATCTCAATATACAACAAAACATTAAACCTAATTATGCAATGATCACTTTTACCCAAATATTCCTCCATCACCAAAGGTATCCCTTCTGGTTGGCTCCATAATAGTTTGGTATAGTAAACCATCATTATCAAAAAATCCCATTCCCTTGTCTAACCTTTTGTAACCAGATATTTTTTATTTCTGGGAGCCAGGAAAAATTGGTAAGTGAATGAAAAGGCTAGAATTTCTAGAAATTTGTTTGTTTGAGGAATTTGTTTGTTTCAATGATCAAGTATGAGTCCAGTTAATTAAGAAGTGATCTTAACCTGTATAGTTAAAATGTTGAAATAAAAATGTGTCTGTGGATGTGTATAAATAAATGTTTTTATGTTATGTAAAATGTTTCTTTATTGTGCAAACTAGCCATTTAATATTTTTGCATCCAGTAATTACGAACAAAATGTAAACTTTAACCAGTCCCTCTGTTTTCTTAAAATATTTAGCTCTCTTCCCTTGGAGATAAGTCTGAATTTCAAAATGAACACATACAACATTGCTAAGAAATGTTTTAATATCTGTGTACATTTGATTGTTACCTGTTTGATAATCCATTGATCCATCAAGTTGTTTATTAAATATCCATTTAGATTTTCCACATAAGAATTATCTCATAAAAGAAAAATTAACTGGTTTCTTAAACCACAGTGCTAGTATTGTATGAGACAGAAACCTCAGCAATCTTCTCATCACAATTTATATATAAAATGTCTCCTAGTAAAGAGACTTAATTTTATTTATTCTTATTTTCATACCTGTGACAACTAGATGTATTTGATTGGAATTTGTCAGTCAATAAGCGAGGATGTCTTTAATAAAACAGGTACGTTAATATTTAGTGATATTGACATTAGATATATAATTCAATCCTGAATAATTTTTAATTTGATTATATTAATCTAATGTACATATGCAATAGATATATTTTTGCTATGTAATGAAAAAGTTATCTGAATTCCAATGGGAATGAATATTAATTTTTTCTTGTTTTCCATTCTTTTATGTCTAAAACATTTCAGTAGCTTTGTCATAAAATCAAAAGAGCAGTTGTAGTAAGTAACAAAAATGCTTTTTACTTCTGAAGGTTTTTAGTCTTTGTTATAAATGAACTATATTTTATATCATAAATTCTTATTTATGTATACTCAGCTGTAAAACTGTTAATCAAAGAAGATTCTCTGGTTAAAATTTGATATAAATATCCTCCCATGTTTCTAAAAATCACTGAGTTGTTCTGTTATAAAAGAAAAAGAACAGAATTAATTTTGGAAGTGTGTTCTTTGTGAAAGAAGTTTCATTCTAATACAGATTTTAGTATATGTAAACAAAAAGTTATGTGGAACTCTTTCCAATGCAAAATACAGAATATTGTAAAAATACTTTAATATAATATTGTTTTACTTCCTTGCTAACTAACATTAAACCAAGTAACCTCACTGATCCATCCATGTTGTTTTTTATAGATTGAAGAAAAAGATGCTTTAATTAAACAGTATCATAAGCAACTAGAAAAAATTCAAGAGCGGTTAAATATTACTATGTTGACATCAGAACAAAGGTAAGATTTTCATCTATATTCATAAATTTTCTAAAGTGTACCTCTCAGAATATATTTTAAATTCTTATTATTCAGGTTCTTCAAAATTCATTGAAATTGTTCTTTAATATTGTTATGCCTCCAGTCTTTACTTTGTTCCGACGAAACTTTAGCGACACAAGTCCTTTCTTAATAAAACTGGTTTATTCTTTCCGAACACAACTTTACGATACACTTAATTTCAACAGTCGCGCTATAACAAATGCTATAACAACAAACGTTAACTTCAACAATACTCTCTGATTGCAGTTCAATTACTCACTACCTACACACATTGTCCCGTCACGTTGTGACCATCTTATATATACCAGACTACCCCCAATCTAGTAAATGCTAGGGCATTCACGAAGGAACAGTATATTTCTAGAAAACGTGACATGACACTAGTCACGTGACCTCGCTGACGCAACAATATGTTCTGTTTAGTCCTGGTTTCCAAAGTTAAGGATTATTACTTTTGTTTTAAATTCATGTTGACAGTTGTCCAATAATTACAAATTTCATTCTGTTAGTCTGTTGTCATAAAACATGTAAATATATCAGTAAATGATTAAAACGTAAGTTTTTTAAATATCTTTTTATTTATTTAAGGTTAAAAAGTGTGATAAAAGTCAAAATATTCTTATAAAGATTTTGGTATTGGCTCAGATTTTTGGTTATTTCTCTTTTGGATATATGATTATAGTGCAGTAAAGCATGCAAAAGCTAATGCATGAAAACATGTATGTTGCTTACTTGTTACCTGACTCTAAGGATGAATTTGACACACACGCATAAACTATAAATACACTTAAATCTCTAGTTAAACCTAACATTAGCCAAATACCAATATAAAAAAAAAGTAGGATTATTATTGTAATAACCAAATTAATGGAAGCATATAAAAAAGATAAGTACAGACTCAGTTTAAATTGCAGTAAACGTAATTTGTGTAATGTAATCTTTATAATTAGATAATAGATTTCTTTTTATATTCTCTGTATAATTTTAGTTTTGTGAATTCTGTAGAATAAAGCCCATTGAAAGCTAAGCTGTCAGAATTTTTTTTTTCATATGTCAGGCTTAATTAATATTCCTCTTAATTTCTTACAAATATTTTATTTCATTTCAAGTTGTTTTGAGAATAAAATAATGAACATGGATCAATGTATGTATATTGTGCCATTTTATACCAAATGAGGCTAACACTTGTCTTGTTGCTAGTGTCAAGAAGATAGTAAATAATAGGCCTATTTTATTGTGTCAAATAGATACATTAGATATGGAATTAGTTGACACATGACATTAACATGTGAGAAGATGGAAAATGGAACAAAAGAAGTAGATTCAGTTACTGTTAAGCAAAATACCCAACTTTAGTGTTTTTAGAAAAGAAAAAATTGAATTAAAAAGATAATAAATATCTGGCTTAAGCTTTCATAGTTTTTTTCAATATCAGACTATAATTAAAATATTAATATTATTATTAATTTCTTTCTAAATAATTTCTAATTGTTTTGATTTATTTTGTTTAGTTTTGGCAATTATATTCTACCTTAGGTTCCATTTGTTTGCTGTCCTACTTATTTACATTCTGAACTTGGTGTAAAATAATCATGTATAGTAACAAATAACTAAATAACATAAAGCAGTAGGTTGCTACTCACCATTTATTTTACTGTGGTTGGTGGTTCAAGATTAGGAAACCGGCCATGCTATCTGAATTGCACGCTGATAAATATAATGCAACATGATTCTGTAATTGGAAGGAGGAGAGCCTGTGTTAAAAATTCTTCTAAGATATAACCATAATTGTAGTTTTATTTGTCCATGTAGATATTTGTACAGCTTGATTCATTAATAGTTTGACAATGTGTTTGAAATACCATTCTGTAGCCAGTTATCTTTTCTTTTAATTCTATCAGAATATGTTTTAACAGCTCTTCTGACTGACTTTAGTGATCAGAACTATATATGAGTTTTTGTATAGGTGTAAAGCATATATAATTCTATTAAAGATAACTGTGTTAAAATGCAACAGTGTATTTTTTATATTTATTCACTGAATCTTTACTTAATCATATTCATTACTATTTTGATGAATTTCACCCATATTAAACGTTTTGTGTAAATTAAAATTCCACAGAATTGCTAATGTACATGTATGACAATCTTCCTAACATATAAATGGTTTGAGAGGTTTATTAACCATCTGTCTGTGTTTAACTTATAACAGGATGGAATTAGAAACAGAAGTGAATGATATCAAGGATGAATTAAATAAATTAGGTAAGTTCTTTAGTACAATTTATTAGCATACATTGATTATTGAGATATAATAAAAAACTTACAATTAATAATTTTTCCATAAGTAATTGTGTTTGGTCAAGTTAAAACTGTTACTGTTGTTGTTGTAAAATAATACAAAATATTATGTAATATTTATCTGAATGTTGTATGTTAAATATATTTTTACTGAAATAAATTATTGCAGTTTATTTACTGACAGAGAACTCCATCAATGAGCTTCTGAAGTCAAAGCTTACAAAACCATGATAATCACAAATAAAACTATGGATAACTGTCATTAAAATAACATAATCTAAGAGTTACTTATTTCTGTATGCATCCCAAATATGAGTAATTTTGTTTTTATTTTATGGATTTTGTAACTTCCAAACTGGAACTGTTTTCAATTGGTAGAACTCTGTGATATTTCTTCTCCTTAAGTTATAAGCCTGTTCTTTAATAACAGAATATTGCTTACGTACATTTTGTTTCAGCCATAGCTACACTTGCTCAGGGTATCAACTTAAAGTGTACATATTGGATTTAGATTATACCATGACTTATTTTTTAATCTAATTAATTTTCCATAAACTTCTATAGAGGTCACTTTTCTTGAATGTACTTCATTCAAAAATTATGTACAAAAAGGTAATTCAAAATTCATGACAATTAAAAAAATGGTACTACTACTGATATTACCCATGATGATAAAGCATCTGCTGGGCAGGTAGACTTTCCTGTGTATGTAGGATGTTTGTAACCATGTGAATTGGATGAAATTACTGTCACTTATGTTTCTTGAAGGTGTAAAGAGATTGGTTCCTTTCAGAGTTGGGGAATCAAGTTGTTAACTTAAGTTTCTCAGAAGATCATTGGAAAATGTGAAATATGACTCATTCTTGAGGTTTCTACTTCAAGGGTGTGAGGGTTTAAGGGAAAGTTTCCTAAAATTAAACCATCTTCTGAACTCTCATCCAGAAGACATCTATGATTTGGGTCCTGATCACTCTGTTCAGGGGAGGTATGGCTTCTTCAGAGATTGATATAACTTAAAAACCAGATTTTTTTTAGAACAGACTTCTAAGACAAATCATGATGGAGTCTGAACATGTTTTCTCTGATGGTATCTTAAAGAGTGTTCTACAGCTTCTCGGAAGCAGAAAGTAACTTCAAAATTAAGACACAATGCAAAGATATAGTAAAGCATTTCCAAGGTTCTCTTCTTTCGGAAGCACTGTTCACTGGCATATGACCTTGCCTTTATAACTGCTCATGATGGTTGGGGTATTCCTTTTGAAGTAACTGCCATGTTGATGGGTTAGTCTTAAAACACAAAGGAACCTTGCAATACCATAGAGATTTTCAGCTATTTGTTTGCCTGTGTATCTGTCTATGGTTGTGCTGATGTTCTTGTTCACAATTGGTATTAGTGTAGTTATTATAAAGTTAACTGTAAGTGTGTTTCACAAGTAATATCAACCATCACATTGAAGACACAGTGAACTTGCTTATGCTGTTTTTAGTTTTACATCACTATCAAGTCTTTTTTTTTTTAAATTCAAAGTATATGAACATACTTTTTATAAATGTAAATAAAATAATGATCTATATCTCTAGAATGTAACTTCATTAGCTCAAATATTTCACTATTACAGCTTCATCAGGAGCTATTGGTTTCCTACCAGTTCACTAGGAATTTCAATTTGATTAAAAATATTCATAATGTGGACTTTAAAACTGGATTAAAGCTACATATGTAGCTCTGCAACTGGTGAATAATTTAAACCCATATAAAAGTTGCGTCCCTGAATTATATGGCTGTCCAAAGACCATCAGTCTGATTTACCCCTGAGACCAATAACATCTGCTTGTGGATCTCTGACAAAACATATATCATGGGTTTTAGATAGATTGTTACACCTATTATTGTAGTTAGTCCCTGCTCATATTAGCAGCATGTATTTTCTTGAACGGTTTCATAATGATTCATGTCTCCTTAATTCTATTCTGTTTACAATGAATGTTGTTCAGTTGTGTTATGACTATGATAAGACAAAACAGAGATGACTTAGAACTTTTAAATATTTCAATGGATTGGTTAGAAAGAGCTCTGAGGTTTGTGTTAAGTAATCGGTATGTAAGATTTAACAGGGAATTTTCTAAACAAATCAGGAATAGCTGTGGATAATAGGATAGCAGTAGTCTTAGCTGTAATATTTATGTCTATACTTGAACTGAAAGCACTTAGTTCTTGGAAAACAGGAGGGAATATAGGCATGTTAATCCGGTACAGATTCATAGATGACGTATTTTGAGTGTGGAACACGAATATAGTCTATTATTAGTTTCCATGAGTTTTTAAATAATGTTCATCCATCCATAAAATTTACACTTGTGTATGCCATACCAAGTAGAAATTTACCATTTCTAGATACTACAATTCATGTCAGGAATGGCGAAGTCATTACTGGTATTTTCAGCAAGCCATTTACTAAAGCCTTTTGTTTACATTTCCACTCACATCATCCCCTTGCAGTAAAATGAGGTGTAGTTATTGGCTACCTCCATAGGACTGATAAAGTTTGTAATAAGAAAGAAGTATAGGAAGAGGCTTGGGAAAATCTGATGACTTTTTTAAGAAAAAGTGATCATCCACGGGAATTCATACAAAACATAATAAATTTGGACAGGCAAAAAGAAAACAAGCATATTACCTTGAACCATAGAAACAAAGAAAGCACATTTAAAGCTGAGGTTACTTGCATGATTCCACATATAAGTGATAGTATCACCACAAAACTAAAGAGAATAATTAGAAGATCAGACTTACCTATTGAAATAGTACAAAAACCAGGCACTTCCCTTAAATCATTAATAACAAGTTCAGCATATATGAAAGAAATATGATGTATGAAAAATAACTGTAAAGCCACTAAGTATGGACTACATGGTTGATATCATTAGTAAAAATGTTGTGTATGAAGTAACTTGTGGCAGATGATCCAGTGCATATATATATAGGTGAAACTTGTCGATCCATACATGATCAAATATCTGAACAGGTGTATGAAATTGAAAACTTCAGTACCAACAATACTTGAAAAGGAAGTTAAAGTTGTTTGATCTAAGGATTAGGAGCATTTTCAGTCACAAATGTAAGAAATCGGTCTTTTCATCTTTAGTTCCCCAGTGGACCTGGACTACGCTGGTGTTCCTGAGATGGCAGCTGGCCATAGCCAAGGGCATTGTACAGTAGTCTTAGGCTGTGATCCTAAAAAGCCTGCTTGATTATACATCCACAGATAATGGGTTAGCATCTGTTGAGCAAAGCATGTGCTTGTACCTGTGCTCCTGTCTTCCTCTACCTTAAACTTTGTGTAACTGAGTGAACTCCTGACTTTAACTTAGCTGAACACAATCCTGCTTGATTATACATCCACAGATAATGGGTTAGCATCTGTTGACCAAAGCGTGTGCTTGTACCTGTGCTCCTGTCTGCCTCTACCTTAAACTTTGTGTAACTGAGTGAACTCCTGACTTTAACTTAGCTGAACACAATAATCATTTCTTAATTACTTATTAATGGAGTCATAGGTCTTGTGAACTGTCTGAAAAATGTATTGCAATAACGAGAGGACTCCATGATTCACCAGTGGGCCTGAAGACCGGTCCAATGCATTGCCGATGTTAAACAGCATAATGGACATCTAGAAATGTATTTCTTGTGGGAAAATCTAGTGTTGTTGATGACTAGTGAATATTTACATGTATTTGAGTTCTGACTGTTACTATTGACTATACAATACAGCTAGGAAAACAAAATACATATCTTATTTAACTGCTGGTCATGAAACAGTAAACAGTAGGGTGCCAGTTATGGAGAGGTGTCTTAACATACAGATGTTAACACCTTCTGTGTAGAATGTTGTAAACATTTTTCAGTTATGTAAATTTAAGATGTTTATTGTGATGGTGGGTTAAAAAGAAAATTTAAACAGCCAGCTCATCTCTGTAAATGATGAATTAGGATTCGATTTATCAGTTTCACAGATTTGTGCTTTCTAACAGCTTTTGTTTATGTTAATACTTCTGACTTACTGCATATTGTCATTTAAACTTCCTTGTTTCTAGGAAAAACCATAGTTTAAAAAATAACTTGTATAGTCTTAAACACCCAGAGTGACATGATGCACTATTTGAAATGAATACTTTGTAAAGAGAAAATAAAGGAGCTTTTAATATAATTTTCTTGTAATAAGCCCTTCCTTCCATTCTACGTGCTGAAAAATATTAAGAGAAAACTACAGAATATCTTCCCTTTGACAACTGTCAAGAAGCACTCACTTCTATTGGGGTCTTTCCTTGCACTCAGTAAAATGACAAGGAATGGTGACATCCAGCAGAAAAAATCCCAGTGGTTACTTAGCGAAGCTGAGTGCTTTATTTGCTGGATGCACCCATTGCATAAAAAAAAACACAGATTTTTGACAACAATACATTGCATTCAACCTCCTTTGCTTAAGAACAAATGCAATACAATTTTTGTTATTGCAATAACACTGGAATGACAAAAGGTAGTTTTAAATGGCCCACTAGACAATCATATTGCACATATGATCTTATCCAAGAGATTGGGTTGACTCTACATTTAATATTTATTTATCACTATTTTTAGGAAAATTACCTTTGAATTGTTTCAATGGGCATCTGTTAGTATACTTTAAAACACAAGCTATGATGTTTGCACACTGTTTTGTTTTAAAAACTTGTCAGCTACGTGTATATTTATAAAACCATTAAAATATTCAAAATGTAGAAATTATAAATAATTTAATAGGCTAAATAGTGTGAGTATAACACAAATATATCCAAAAGACACTTTGGATAAGCATGATACTGGGATTGTAGAATCTTTGAAATATCAAATTGAGCAGTATAATGCTGATCCACAGAGAAAGTAAAAACATTTCTGATTGGCTCTTAAATTACTTCCTTTTCTACTTTCACAAATGAACAATTTGAGCATACCGAGTTTCAAAAAGTAATTAATATCACAGTTTTGCTCTGAAAAAATACAAAAACTTTAATGTGCGAGTATATCAAAAAAGACAAAAAGAAAATAGACAGTATTAACTTGGGACAAGTTTGCCATGTTAGCAACTAGTCCAAATGCATTTGTTACTTGTCCCAGGCTGTCAGGCTGAAGTTAATGTCAATTTCTGAGTCCAGTTTATTTTATTTCTTCTTAAAACACTTGGTGGCCCAGCATGGCCAGGTGGTTAGGGCGCTCGACTCGTAATCTGAGGGTCGCGGGTTTGAATCCCCGTCACACCAAACATGCTCGCCCCTTTCAGCCATGGGGGCGTTATAATGTGACGGTCAATCCCACTATTTGGTGGTAAAAGAGTAGCCCAAGAGTTGGCGGTGGGTGGTGATGACTAGCTGCCTTCCATCTAGTCTTACACTGCTAAATTAGAGACGGCTAGTGCAGATAGCCCTCGTGTAGCTTTGCGCGAAATTCAAAAACAAACAAACACTTGGTATTTAATCAAAAGTACAGTTTTCTGAGAAATGAAAAATGTTTTCTGTTAACAGCTAAGGACAGCATGGGTTTTTGAAATTAGAATAACTTGTTGTGGAATGTAAGTTAGTTAAAAAAGGGAGACATTTTGTAAATAAACTAGACCTAATAAATAACTGCCATTAAAAACACATTCTCAAAGCAAGACACTGAAACTGTTTTGGGCTAAACTTGCTCCAAAAAATAAGCATGCCTCCTTAAGAATGTTAGAACTTGCAATAAATAGAAATCAAGTCACTGTTGTTAGTGAATTCTTATATTTTAGTTCCCCAGTCTGATTTTGAGACATTTTTTTATGTAAAACTTGGATAGCAAAAGGAAGCTAAATGAGAACTCCCTATGATTTCTTCTAAGTAGGTGCTCATATATTGTAAATTAGCGGACCATTTAATCCCTAAAAATGTTTTGTATATTATATTTATGATTCTTTCGAAAACTAACTATGGTGCTATTGTTTTCTTTTGATTGTTAAATGTTGTATTATTTATTAAATCTAAAGTCTTGTGTTATCATTACAGAGAAAGAACTGAAAGGACTACGAAAAGAAAATTTCAGGAGCCTTATCCTTGCTGCAACTTTGCTTATCTTGATCTTTCTGGTATATTACTTTTTGTCTCCAGTATGACAAGAGTTGAATATTAATCTCCACCTGATGACTGCTCAAAGGCCTAAATTGTTATTTCAAATATCAGTTGCATTATATTCCTAATAAATATTTAATTTGTATTTAGTTGTTTTAAGTTAAAATAGCTGATTTCCTAATATTCTTCTCAAAGTCCGAGGCTTTTTTCTTTCCCAAATTGTTTGCAACTGTGTTTGTTATTTTAGAGATAGTATAGTGTGCCCAGTAAAATTGAGGTTTACCATTTGCTGTTATAGATATCTTGTAACCTGCTGCTGTTTCGAGTTATCGTGTTCTATAAATGTGCATAATGCTGTAACATTTCAGTCATAAGGTACTAATCACATGTGTTGTATAGTTTTTCGTATTACTTCATACAGCATTTGTTATTATTGAGTTCAAATTTTTGAACTTCATGCAGAGTTTGATATTAAGGTATAGTCTGTATCTTCTGTAAACTGTTACTTTTATAGGAATCTATTAACTCTGGTTTTTGTTGGAAAGAAAGTTTCTAACAGTGATGTGTCATTAATTTTACTAAATACAAAAGAAATAACAGCTCTTAAAAATCTTCTGATTAAATGGGATTTAAAAAAGTATTTTTCTAATTCATTAATGAATTGTTGTTATGAGACATTCCATTCAAAGAAAGTAAGATGTACTGAACTAATCACGATACTTATTTTACATCTTCTTTTAATGATTTATTTGTATGAATGTGATTCACTTCTTTTGTTCAAATTTGTATACTTCAGGTGCATGTGATTAGTTTGTAGATGCATTTGGCATTTTATACGCATTGAATAGTTTGTGACGAAAGTAACGCTAAGGTTCTCTGTCATTTTTAATACACTGAAAGTTTATCTTTATACTTTCCTATCATTCCAAAAATATGTGATTAAATTTATGTGATCTGTCCATTTCTCTGAATTCTTACATGCTTATCAGGAGCTGTAAAATTTTGTTTACTTGTATATGAATTCTGTACTTAAAAATTTCAATGATAAATTGTCATTTAAAGCAATCACATTATGGAAAATAATGCTGAGTAGATAATTTCATGTACTGTTTTGCCTGAAAGCCATATGGAAAATAATGCTGAGTAGATAATTTCATGTACTGTTTTGCCTGAAAGCCGTATGGAAAATAATGCTGAGTAGATAATTTCATGTACTGTTTTGCCTGAAAGCCGTATGGAAAATAATGCTGAGTAGATAATTTCATGTACTGTTTTGCCTGAAAGCCGTATGGAAAATAATGCTGAGTAGATAATTTCATGTACTGTTTTAGCCTGTAAAGCCGTATAGGAAAATAATGCTGAGTAGATAATTTCATG